GTAATGTTTTTAGCGTTTCAAACGACTTAAATCCTTTTTCGTTTTGGCGCCATTTCGGCTTCATGCGACAAATGTCGAGTAACTTGGTTCCATATAAACAGAGCGCTTGTTTGTCCCGCCTGGGCGAGTAATTCGCCTTGCCGGGTAACTTGCCTCCATGTAAACAGGCCCTAAGTCGGGGTTTGTTCCAATTATTGTTTTAATGCCACCTTCAAGGCTGCCCATATCACAGAACAACCAAACAATATGCTGATGGGGAGACAATATCTATTTGTTGACATTTCTAAATTATTGTGGGCATTATCGAAAAATATATTACACCGTGAAATGTAGTGACACAGCCAGATGAATATATTAATTATATATATGAATGTAGGCTTGTAGGATTATTTCATATTATGCTAACAATAACACAGTCATATCTTATACAAAAATCAGTTGACATACCATTACATTAATCATATTGCTGGTATAAAGTCAATATGTGCAGAGAACAATCCTCACAGGGTTGCTCTAGGGATCTTATTACAGTGAGCCTGATTTAACAACATTCCGCGTTTGTTGTTAAACTATAAACATCTAGAAATGAACACTATACTCATCGTCTTGGCACATAACAAACAAATATTAAAACTGAGTACATTGTGACTCGTAAATAAGGCATTATTGACAAATAAATCTGGTGGGCTATTATACACTGCCGGTAAATTCATTAAATACTTCAGAGCTCTTAAGTACATCTTGTCTCCTTGTATTTATAAGACATTATCAAATGTTCTAAACGACCACGCGGACAATGGAAATATTTCGGGCTGTAACTGTGTAAGAAGCGCCGTAGACTCATGACATAAAAGCACATTGCTTGCCTCCACAATGAACGCTAAACAGTTCATGGCCTTGATGGATATTAGTACAAAGAAATAAAGCCATACTTACCTGGTTTCTTCGGGAAATGGTCGTATATTTTGCATCAAGTCAGATCCAGAATAAGTTTGCATATACTGATATAGCCATATAAATATGTGCACGCGCAATTTAAATATTTAATATTTTTCTCGCACTCCCCCCCGCCGTTCCCCCCCGGAATTTACGACATCTTAACAGACACAAGATCGAGATCTCGACAATACATAGATCGGCGCGAAAGAATGGGTCGAGTGAACTCTGGCGAAACCTTCATGTCAAGATTAGGAGTGCTGCCTTCGGCAGCAAATATTTTATTGGCTGAGATCATTTTCAAACTCACCTCAGTTGGCTTCTTGTCAAATTCTTTCCCGCGCCCGGGGCGAGCCAGGGTAATTTCGCTGAGTCAGCGTAGGCTAGGCCGCCCCTGGTACGAGGTACCGGTTGGCTGTTTTATAGCGTTACCTGCAACGCCCCAGGCCCGCCCTGGCCCCCCGCAAAGTAGCGGACCATAGCGGTCGCGGAATTCGCGGGTAACGGGCTGCACGGACTTCGACTATGGCTAAGGCGGTTAATTTGAAAGGGATGATGAGAGGCAGGTTTTAATTAATCACATCTCTTTAATGCATGTACACTCAAGATTTACAAACTATGTTATGTTGAACTGTGTTAATTATATAGGCATGCAATAAAAAAAATTAAAATTGACACCACTTATATTTCCATAAAAACATGCACGCTATGAAGCCCAAGCATTTAAAAAAAATAAGTTATCTTTTAAAAACACTTGCCCTGTTTTACGTTATAACATCATGGAACATAGTTATATGTCACATATTTGTTAAAATATTCATATTTTGAAATACATCTTTTCTAAAATGAACTGTTGTAAACTGTTAAATAAATATAAATAAAGAAACTGCCTTTGTATCAAGATTGGAGGCTAGGTTACGTAGTCTTGCTACGCGACAATCACGCTGGTTTCCTGCGTTGTACACGCGGTATAAATGATAATCTTCCCTCTTTTCGAATGCGCACTTGATTTCTTGTGATGATATTTCCAACACATGTTTTTCCGAAGCGGAGGTGCTCTTAATCTCAATGAATATTTCGACGTCTTTTCCTTTGATGCGGATATCATATGGAAGCCCAGACTCTGCGATTTCATTGACCCAGACAACTTGATGATCTTTTTCAATGTGTTTTAACAACATATACACACATTCTTCTCCCCACCGACCGATCTCTTCAGCATTAGCACTTTGTGCTAAGGAAATCAATCCACTTCCTCCGAGGGCTGTGCCAATGTCTACTTCTTCTAGTTCAACTGTGACGTCACCAAGCCTCGATGGACGATGATATTGCGGGCGCAGATGAGTCGTATCATCATAGAAAACTCTGGCCGAAGTGCTGGAGATGTTGTGACTGTCGCTTGCGGTGACATTTGAAATCAACTCCGAGACATTCGATTCATCATGAGGTTGCGTAAATTGTAGAACAGGCTGTGAACAGGTTTCATTCTCGTTCCCAGGGTCTATCACTTCGTTGGACGGCGCAGGTGACTCTGAGACTACTCTGGGATCATACTGTGGTTGAGGTTGGCAAGTGTTCTGGGAGGGAACAAGTAATGATGTTAAACCTTGCCGGTTTAACATCATTAATATTAATGTCCTTTGCTTTTAATTTTATTCTATTCTTTGAAATTATACAAGCAAACACAGTGGTCAATATCCGTATAATCTATTAGACGTTAGTACTAGTAGCATAGACATAGTTAATGTATTGGAAACAGATAACGCTGTAATAAGAGTAGCTATAACCTAACAGTAATATAGCTTTTTAATAAGAGTATAACCTAACAGTTTTATAGCTTTTGCAGAAAAGTTTCAATAGTTTCGTGTATATAAAAGATATTCAGTAGAAAACCTATATATTCATGTAAAATCTAGATCAATAGCGCTTGGCTCTTTCCCATCGACAAAGCGAATGTATCTAAAATCTGTACATTAACAAAGGACTTTTGACAAATTGATAATTCAACTTTGATTTTGCTTGGGGATGCCGGAAAGACACTCGTCGCAAACATAAATTTGGGAGGTCCTTCTAGCGCTTTTCAAGGTCCCCCCGACAAAGCCTATAAAGACGTTTGCTGGAAACGTCGAATCTCATTGTATCGTTCTGGTAGAAAGTAGAACTTTCGCTGCTTGTTGATGTTTTTTTGGCTACCTACACCTGCTACATATCGAAATGATAACGCACGATCAAATTTTCTCCACTATCATTGGATTTCATTTATTTAGGAACGTATATTTTAACCTGACTTCAAGTTATTAGCAGTGATATTTACAAGGTGAAGAATATTACATTTTTTTACACACATTATTGGTGAGAGGTATCACTATATTCCTAAAATGTGATCAGTCATTTCCTAAATCATATAGCTAGTCCTCATTTTCCTTTTACTGCGAAGAAATTCAGAAAAGACCCTGCTAATGCAGCATCTAATACAGTCAGTTTTTTCCCACCAAATGCGGGAACAAGCTCCGCCATAATTAACAATTTCAATTGGTTTCTTCAGCGACCTAATGTTTTTGGATGTTGATTGTGAATTTGCCTAAAAATACAACAAAAAACAACATTTACATTTTCAAATTTTACAATCCCTCGTTTCAGGACTGATTTTTAGCAAACTCAATATACGGAGTATGATGTAATATTCACTCACACATTGGCATTGTGATTTCCGCACCAACGATTGATGGTATTCCCAGGTTAGCCAAAGCACCTCGAATTAACCCACACGGCAACGACAGATACTGTATACGATATATTATAAAGTATAAGAATGACTGAAAAGCATGTTTATGATACAAAACTATACTGGGAGCAAAATCATTGTTTTCGACAATCGTTTTTTTATTAAAGATATTTTTTGCTCGTCGGTTCCTTCATAGTTGTTAAAAATTTGAATTAATTTAAATTGAGAAATTTTCGCCCGCGATTTTCTCCTTTTGACGGATATGAATGAGTGGATTAATAACGAATGTGCTTAGTGGATTTTTCTTCACCATACATTTGTAACTAGTTCACTCATTCACATCCGTCAAAAGGAGAAAATCGCACTAGAAATCGCAGTGAAAGTTGCAAGTATAAATAGGCCTGAACCATCGCGTGCATGAGGAAGGCTAACCGACGCATAATGTTCTATTGAAATCGAAGTTTTGGGGTTGAAGCCCAGAATTAGATTTAGAGAACCTTTGCAGCAGGTTTGATGAATTCCTCAGTATCTGAGATCTGTGTTAGTAACCTAAATCTGTTGTCTTGAAGAACAAAGACGCCCTATGAAAGCAATAAAAAGTAAACATTCATATTATTTGAACAGAAGAATAATATACGTATACATATATAGTAACATACAGTAGAAATACCTGATGGTTTGTTCTTAAGTTATCAATTTGTTTCTTATACAAGGCAGTCCAAAACTCTTTACAGATATATTTCATTACGTCCAAATCATCTTTAAACCTTGCAGTTTCCTTTGTGAATCTGCAGAACAATGAACATGCAAAAATGTTTGAGCAATTCCTTTTTTGTAACTGTGGCCAACACAATCACTAGTCCTACCTTTCCGCTAGCCTTTGTCCGATGGTATAACCCATCTCTTCCAACTTATACGTAGCATCATTCTGTATTAAGAAGTACTCGTGTAAAATGTGACAAGGCAGACAAGCCAAAATATTTAGTCAGAATTAGTTGTATATAAGCGATCATTGATTCGGAAAAAGGGGAAAATATATGGAAAAGATTATTCGTTCATGTGACTGCTTTACCTCGTTTTCTTTGCCGTGTACCTCATGTATGTACTCTACAATCTGCATATGTAAAAATTCGAAAACAGAATCTGTGTCCGCCATATTGGAAAACGGTCACAGCAGGAATGAATTCATTTTAGGTAAAGTGGAAGCACGTCATGCCAAATTTCACCAGAATGAGGCAAATGAGCATTCCATTTTTGTTTTAATGACCAAATTGGGAGTTCATTATTGTTGTTGCAGGTATTTTTTTATCTTCAATACATAGGATCACACAGAAATGTTAGAAATTAAAAGCATTGAGAAGAGACTGTCAGCTTTCTATAGTTGCGTTACTGCTAACGCTATTACACTCTCATTCCTCTTTGATCCGGATTTAGGTCAAAATTATGTTTGTTTCGACAAAATGGCAATATCAGACAGATTTTTTTTTCCATTAAAAGACGACCATTCTTTTCTCTCCTGCCTTGTTTATTAAAACTATTAAGATTTTATTTCGCTTTCATTCGAAGCTTTAGTGCTTGCTTAAATGTTTCCTTAATTCATTTCTTCACAAAATAGAACTGCAGTAGTGAGAGAGTGTAGAGGCTTGTATGAAGGAACTCTTAACTTACTGACAAAGATCTCTTCGTGTGGTGAATTTGGCAGTATCGAAAAACATTTGCATAAATAAGCTCTTGTCCGATTGTAACTTTTAAATACTGGCTCACTTTGATAACAAGACATTGTTGCACGAGCGGTTGAGATGGGACAAATTAGTTATTCGGATCCTACGTACGTAGTTAAACCTAATTGTTCTGTTTTGACGGAAGCGTACCTTAAAGGCCCATGGCTAACAGCTAGGGACATTTCAGTCTCTAAATAAACCAAATAGGGACTTGATTTATGTTGCAGCCAATTTTTAGCTTCAATTTTGAAGCACGCAGAATTGTTAGAAAACATTAAGAACAGCTTTCTACAGTCGCGTGTCTGCCAACCCTCACTTCCTGTCATACTCGTTTGATCCGATCTTAAGTCAAAATTTTCTTGTTTCACCAAAATATCTAGAATTATCAGAGAAGTTACTGTTTTAGATTTGTTAGAAGACGTCCATTCTTTTCTCTCATATCTGTTTAAAATTTTTAGCCTGTGCACAGACCTAACTCTGCGCACAGGCTACGAAATTTTCTACTCAAATACAAACTTCACTACCGACTACGAATTTACGAATTTATTCCATCGGCAAAGGAGAGCTTCATCAAATGCAGTGACGAAGGAAATTGTTCGAAAACGTTTAAATACAGAACTTTGGTAGCCACAATTTTGGTAGTGAAGTTCGTACCTTAATTTGTAACTGTAAACATGGGCTTCTATACGATTAATTTAGGAGGGTTTATGATGCGAAATCAAGTGCGAAGGAGCAATCCCATGTGCGATCCAACGTGCAAAAAACGGAAATTTGCAATCGGGGATTAATTACCGGAAAAAAATTACCTGCTCCATTACCCGCTACCTTTACTCGCGACCCGCTGCACTAGGGTACAGCAGGTAGCGACCAGCTCCCCGCTCCAAATAGATACTCCCCTTTGGCAAATATTTAATACCCATAAGGTAATGTTTTGTAACTGTTCACAATATACTACACGCTTCTAACACTGAAAGGACCCCAGTTTAAATCTGGCTAGGACCTGCATCGCCATGAATTTGTTGCATATTTTTCGTTGCTTCGATTCACTTATCCAGAATTTTGTCTCTGTTTTGAAATTTCGTTCCAATTCGTTTCCGTGGTGTAGTGGTTATCACGTGCACCTCATACGCGCAAGGTCCCCATTTCAATCGTGGACAGAAACATACATATGAGCATTTTTAAATAGAAATATTTTTTTCTGCAATTTTTCAATAAAAAACCTGAAAAATTGATTAAAGTGAACACATCTATTTCTATATGTTTGCGCATATGCCAGTTTCCGTAGTGTAGTGGTTATCACATGCGCTTAACACGCGCAAGGTCCTCAGTTCAAACCTGGGCGGAAACATATATATATATGAGCTTTTTTAAATGGAGATTTGTTTTTGGGAAAATTTCAATAAAAAACCTAAAAAATTAATTAAAGTGAATACATCTATTTCTAAGAAAGGACCCCGGTTTAAATCTGGCTATAGGACCTGCATGGCCTTTAACTTGCTTGATATTTTTTCTTGCATCGATTCAGATCTCCGAAACTTTGTCTCTGTTTTGTAATTTTCTTCCAATTCGTTTCCGTAGTGTAGTGGTTATCACGTGCGCCTCACACGCGCAAGGTCCTCAGTTCCAACCTGGGCGGAAACATACATATGAGCTTTTTTAAATGAAGATATTTTTTTCTTCGGAATTTTTCAGTAAAAAAACAGAAAAATATTCTTGGTGATATCGTCGAAATTTGTGTAAATAGATCAGCTTTGAACAGTAATGTTCTCAATTTTTTTGTAAATTTGTTTTTTCGGTGGGATTCGAACCCACGTCATCGAAATGACTGGTGGCTTAAACCAGCGCCTTAGACCACTCGGCCACACTACTTTTAACGCGTTGGATACATGATTTGTGTTCAGTAAATATCCACGTCCGCCATTGAAGAGTGTTCCTTTTGCAGAACTTGAATTGCCATGAACGTGACCTGTATAAATAAGTAATAAGGCATAATAGTTAGTGATTGTATGTGGGAGGCCAGGGTGGGGATTGAGAAGAAAAGGATAAATGTGGGTGTACGATGCTGGAGCTCTGAGCTAACCATATTAAATAGGTTGAGTAATTTGCCTGGAACTAGTACTCACCATTTGAATGATTGAATCTTCCAAGTACATAATTGATTGTTATCCACGCATATATACCTAGAAAAATTCAACAGACATGTTACATGGTGGTATTTAAGCTCTGTTATTTCTGCTTTTGAGAGCTGGTTCACTGTAACCTACCTTCTTGTTTTCCGGTAATCACTTCAATTTGAGTGGAAGAGAAGAGAAAATCAAAGTGTAATGGAATGTCATTAATGAGATTATTGATAATTGCATCCTGTTTTGGTTTGGATAACAACCTCATGCCAGCCGTAGCAAGGATATATAAAGGTGTTTCCGAATGCTTTGACTTTGGGATGTGATTTGCAGCATGTCGTAACAATGGATAAATATAATGCGATGCATTTTGAGGCTTATCTTCAAAAGTTGAAAGTCCTTTAAAAAAACAAATAAGAAGAATTGGTTCAGTCACAAATTACATTCAATGTAAATCCTTCGGGTCATTCACACAATATGACATACTTTCTCGGCTAAGGCAGGCACACAAGTTTACCTGGTCTGACTTTCATACGTACAGGCTGTCCATCTCGATCAATCATTTGCTGAATATTTAACAAGTGATCTAGATTACCATTATGATCTGGCCAATAATAAATAAATACTCTAGTTCCACTGCTACCACAGTCCAGCACTATACCATAATGAAACCCTGAATTTTTGTCGTGTATCCAAAGATTATTACCAACAACAGTGTTAAATTGGTGCCTCGCTTTGTCTTTACGAACATCCATTGTTATCATCAAAATGACCAAAAAGATAACGACAATTGCGATCAAAAGAAGGTACCGACCAGTATATTTCCTCTGGTATCTTTGGGGAATGTGTTGGAACAACTAAAGGCAGCCAGTTGAGTTAAAAAATATTAGCTCATTAGTACCTTAAAAACTCGTGGTGGCAGGACTTTGCTCAAGACACTGCAAAACTGTTCAACTGTCAAATAATCCGTAGCTAATCCAATAATTTTGCCACCATAGCTGTCTGGCTCGTTGAAAATACCTAAACTATAAACAAAGAACGTGTTTGGTGCATGATTGTCTCGCAGTTATCGATTATCTGCAAGAAATCTATTGTGACAATGACTGTCGTCGCCGACAACCTTAGCTTTATCGCTAACATTTGGTTGGGGATAATGTCACTATCGTCGTGCATAATTAAAGTATCACATCACAATATTAACATCATCATCTCAAACGTCGTTCATCGTTATTACCCCCATTATCATCCTAGCATCGTTATCAACCATGCATGGTTGAGCATGGTCTTCCTGACGACAGTGTTATCCCAACATCATCACCTTCATTCCACTATCCTATCAACATCATCACCACACAATCAAAAAGCTTACTAATAGCATCACCCTTATACAGTAATCACACATGATCACAATATCATCACTTCATTGCCGGTATTATCACCGCCCTCATCCCAACATTACCATGCCAACATCATCACCATTATCCTACCACCATCAACCTCTGAACCTCACCATGGTATTCACTCATCCCACCATCACTAACCCATGGAACTATGATTACCCTACAGTTTTCACCCCATTATCATTACCACAGTATAGATAATGAACAGTTCATCCACTCAGCAATGCAACATGGCACACTAAGTTTATGCAGTTTACTGGCTGTGACCAGACAGGTCAGCATTCTCATTGACCAGAAAATGCAATTGACTGGTTGCCATTATGGTAACGAGATGCGACCACCATTTCAACCAACATCGTTACCCATTGTCATCCTAAACTCCACCATCATTCCGCCGTCATCAACTCAACCATCATTATCTTGCCATCATCATTCCAACATTTTTATCCCAGTACTCCAAACCAAACCATGATAATTTCAATGTCATCATTCTAACAGCATGGAATGATGTTGTAATAGCAATATTGGATTAGCATCATCATCACCCCAGTAACACCATGACCTCACCATCATGCTACCATGTCCCCACGGCCTAGCACCATGCCGCCATTTACAGTCGTCGCCATCATCATCATCCCACTATCATCCCAACATCGCTATAAACCGATGATGCACTGCCAGCGAAAGTAACAGCTCTATAATAGCCTATACAATCAACACAAAGGCAATAAATATGATCTTACTTGCAACACATTCTCCGAAATCTTCGACATCCATTCCATACATAGGCTTTCCTTCCATAGCAAGATCTATGACGTACGAACCATCGTCCTGTTTCTTTGGTTTCCATAAAGTTAGGAAATTGTTAAAATAACCTGCTATCCTTACACTGGTCCATATCATCGAGCCTGCTTTCTCCTTTATGTAATCCTCCACTCTGCCCTTCGAGTCAAAATGATCTAAAATTTGTCAAAGTTACACTACAGTTAGTTATGCTCATGAACAGTTGGTATCCCAGTTTTGTGTTCTTAAAAAGACAAGATACTTCCTTTACCATTGGCAACAAATACATTTTGATCTCAAGTTCGGCTAAATTCTACTACAAATACATCCATGTATCGTCTTTGGATTTCAAATGCAAAAACAAGCTAACAAACCAGGCGAGAATGGATCGTAGTCCCAATAGTGAAATGTGTTAACGCTTTTAAATTCGTGTAAATGCGACAACAGATGCACCTATAACCTATACATTATCCTGTGCTTATAGTACAAAAATGAGATTGATCATCGCTAATCATTGCCTTGATGTTACATCAATAGGGAAGCAAGCCGCCAGTACCATAACCCAGTCTCGTGTTTTTCAATATTTTCAGTATTTTCTTTGGACGGACAAAAATAACGATTATATTCGAGGAAATAACTTCGAACGGATATCCTCATGAAAGCTGATACATTATCCCTCTCCCAAAAATTTAAAGTGTTCCTGCCCACCTGGAAAAAAATTTAAAACATTCTTGCGTCCCTTGTTTTTGCCATGCTATTTTATTTCTTTTTCAATATTAAAAAGTCGATTCCTCGTGCGTCTCTATGTATTGTTTCACTTAAAAAACACTCAACAACTATATTAAAGTGAATAGCTGAGGCTGCTGAGCTACTTCAAGATTACACGTGATATAAAGTGTTCCTCTTGAAATCGTTTCACAAAAGTTACGTAACTGCATGTGGTTGCTATGACAATACCGACGTTTCAATATAAAAATTCAAGTAATTTTGTTACACCATTTATTAAAATGTTCTTGACCTAATATGAGACTGATTTGCTGTCACTAAAATTTGATGGATGTTAATATTTGAACTTTCGTTAAATCTCAGGGGCGATATTCTTGGGATTTGTAGCAAATTTATACACAAACTGTTGATTCTTCTGTTTTCAAATTCTGCTGTGTTTTATTGGTTACATAATTACACGATAAACTCGACCAAAACAGCTTACCTACTGCAAATGCGTGCATCTTTTGGACATTTTCCAATCCGCTGAAGATCAAATGTTTAACGCCTTTTTCCAAGCATACATCGACGGCGTTTTTGCCTTGCTGTGTCTCGCGATCGGCGTCCATCCCATCCCAAAAATTTGTGAGCAAAAACACTCCGTACGAACCAGCTATCGCTTTATGTAGCGACTCTGGCTCGTCTAAATTCGCTTCCACCATCTCCACGCCTTGCGAGGCGAGCTTCTTCGCTTTCTCGCTTTCCACAGAGCGAGTGACGCCTCGAACTTTGAATTTACCTCCAGCGAGAAGAGCCTTGACCACATCACCACCTTGAGCTCCAGTTGCGCCAAAAACTGTTACCAAACGCACCATTGTCAAATATTAAAAGGTCGATACTTATCAAATGAAATCGATCACAAGCTCTGTGTCAGTTACTGGCATAGCAGGCGGCTATATATACAGTCCTTGTTATATAATTTAATTGACGTTAATTGAGGAAGAATTTGCCTTTGTCTCAACAATTATGCAATGCACTTGTGGTTGAAGGGCTATAAGGATTCACCGCACACCCGCCATTGGCTAAACCATGGCAACTGGTGCTCATTAATTTGCGTGGTAATTGACCATCCTTACTGTGGACGTGTTTCCGGTAATTCACATGCCCCTTGGCTGAACCAGGCGTGACTGGAGTCACAGTAAATCTGGTCCTCTTCTCCCAAAGGGGGGGGGGGTATTCTTTGTAATTTTGACCCCAGGAGGGCGAATCTCTTCCCTACAAGGTGGGTCAGTTTTCTAGGAATATTGCCCAATTTTATACGATATCCCCCTTACCTTTACCGGCAGCCTGAAATTCAACAATAATAATAATTAAGGCATGTTTTAATATATTTTTAGCTCCCTCGTTATGGTTTGTTGTCCCTCCAAACATCAACTAGACCCAGTCCTTCGCTCGATTGGCAAATGGCTAATTCAACTAATTCAAAAGTCTTACTAACCCCGACAATCAAGCATCGATCGAAGCTAAGTAACAAACACAAAGAAATTTATTGGAATTTGTTGCTAGTCACAAAGCAACAATTTGAAAATATCTCGTAGTAGGGCTGCTAAGACAAAAAATCGTTCAAATTGTGATCACATTCTGAAACTTGGCACAGATACTCATTAGGATATGGGGAATATGGAATGGAAGGACTGCCCAAAATTTGAGCAGGGGAAAGTGCCTATTTCGGCCTTCAAACTGGCCGACATTCTGTATGCACCTTGAGGAAAATTATCTCACTTAATCATCACATCTGTGAACAAATGAACAAGCCTAGTACACATGCATGCAAGAGAAGGCTTAAAAAAGTTTTTCCACAATATTATATGTTGCACTGTCATGAAATTAAGGATATTTCAGAAAAACAGTAGTGCGCATGCGCAGTCACATCTCCCTGAAATTCGAATGTTTTATTGCTTTTCCTGGATATATTTTGCTATCTGTTAATGCATGCTGTTTGTTTTGGCAGCAACAAAGATAATATTTTAGCAACTTACACATACCTTAACTGTGATAACATTTGAAATATTGAAATGTTACGGTAGCTCTTGCTATCAAAAACACACCTTCGCCTTGTGTGTTCTTTTTGGTGAAAAATAAATCACGGCAACGCTCACAAACGTATGGGGACTTTGCCCACAATTATAAGGGAATTGAAGTTCAAATGTGAACAATGCGAAATTGAAATTCTTTACGTCTGTCTGCGAGGTCCACATACGTTACTTTTTAACCAAGCACGGGTGTTTTGGCATTATCTAATATTTCGCTTGACAAACACACAGCTCCATACACTCTCTTTGCATTTACATCTACCAACCACAGAACAAATCAGCTCTTCACTAGTCACTTAGGATACGTCGGGCATCGACTGGCGGGAACCCAGTGTGTGGGTTCCAGCTCTACTCTTGCAGCTTCTGGACAATTGTACCACTTTCGTGCTTGTAACGCAGATCGTTTTACGTGTTCGTTCAATGCAGCAGTTGTTCAGTGGCGTAGCCAGAACGATAATCGGGGGGGGGCATATTCATATATTCGTGTTCTGCTTTATTAATTTTTTTTGAAATCAATTGTTTTTATGGTATGTAAACACGAATATATGAATATGCCCCCCCCCCCAATTATCGTTCTGGCTATGCCACTGCAGTTGCTGGGGGTATGTTGTCAATTATTTTTCCCTTGCTTGTCAATTATTTTTCCCTTGATACCCGAAAAGGTATCGCCTTGCATCGTTGATCTCTTCGCCGTCAAATGTGCTGCAATAAAAAGCTGCAACAAACTGTTCCAAAAGATCACTGTCTGCTTCACATATCTTACCTTCGGACGTTGCTACTCGTTCAAACACTGGAGTCAAGCTGGGTATTTGTTTCCATGTTTCGCTTAATGATTTCTTGCCTTTACCTTTGAACGCTGATGTGGTATCACAAAGAGGCTTGAGGTCCTAGTGGTGTGGTAATTACGTGGATTGGAAAGTACTTCAAATGCTTCCCACTCCAAACTTGAGCCACAGTTCTTGGAGGCCGTGGATCTTGTGGAAAGCTTTGAGTGCAACAACAACAACATCACTGTCTACAGTCTTGACCAAAACGCGTGGAGAAAGTTTAGCAGCACGTTGTGCATGGACAAACATACGTTTATCTGCGGCATCAATAATTCAAGATCTACATCCTGATTCGCCACTACCCTGCCGTCTAGAGACCCCGTACACGTGTATCAATGCTTTCAATCAGTACTTTAACGAAGAAGGGAAACAGTTCCGTTTTGTTTTCGTCGCATCTAAGAATCGTTGACTAATTGTCTGGCATACTCCCGTTGCTTTCACGAGCCTCCTAACACCAGAACCACGGTTTGACCGCATACCAGACTTTAAACTGCCCTTAAAGTACCTATCAAAAAACCAAGTTGATTAGCTGACCTTAGATGATATTTTATTTTCGGTAGGATGACATTTGAAAATAAGGTGAAAACAAAACGGAACTATTTTTACTGGTTGAAAGCATTGATACACGTGGACTATTCCTGGGGTCTCTAGATAACAGAGTTGTGGCGAATCAGGATGTAGATCTTGGATTGTTGATGCCATGCAACATCGAAGAAGCCGATAAACGTATATGTCTCCATGTCCAACATGTCGCTGAACTCTGTCCACACGTTTTGGTCAAGACTGTAGACTGTGACGTTGTTATTGTTGTTTTGCACTCGGAGCTTTCCACAGGATCCACAGCCTCAAAAAACTATAGCTTGAGTTTGGAGTAAGGAACGTTCCAATCCGCAAAATTGCAGCATCCTTAGAACCTCAAACCTCCATCGCTTAACCGCGTTCCTGTTTTTCTACGCATTAAGTGGCTGATACCACATCATCGTTGAAAGGTAAAGGCAATAAATCATTCAGCGTTGCAAAAAATCATTCAGAGGAGCAACGTCGGAAGATAATATATGTAAAGCAGACAGTGATCTTTTGAAACAATTTGTTGCAGCTCTTTATTGCAGCACATTTGATGGCGACAAGGTCAACGATGCAAGGCGATACTTTTTCATAAGCAAGGGAAAGACCATTGACAATATATTCCCAACTGCCAACAACTGGTGCATTGGACGAACACGTAAAAACGATCTGCGTTACAAGCACGAAAGTGATACAATTGTTTATGAAGCCGCAAGAGTAGCGCTGGAACCCACATATTGGGGATGAATGAAGGATGGCGAAGTTTGGAGCCGCAATGCCGCATGCCCGACGTTTCCCAATGACCGAAGCGCTGATTTGTTGTCAGGGTGTAGTGGTGCACCAAATGTAGGGTTGGTAGATGAAATGCAAAGAGTTTGTTGAAGTATACAGAGCTGTGTAGATGTCACTAAGCGAAATGTTAGATAATGCCAAAAACAACCATGCTGAGTCAAAAATTAACATTGCGGACCTCACTGACAGACATAAAGAATATAAATTTCGCGTTGTTAATATTTGGTCTTTAAATGAGTATATAGCTCCTACTTTTGAAACATAGCAATTCCTTTATATTTGTGGGCAAAGTCCCCGTACATTTGTGAGCGTTACCGTAATTTATTTTTTACCAAAAAGACCACACAAGCCGAAGGAGTCTTTTATGACACTTTATGACGCGTTATATGACATTTTACTCTTTATATTATATATTCTGGATACAATATAGTCAGGAAAAGCGGTAAAACATCAAATTTTAGGGTAATGTGACTGCGCATGCGCACTACTGTTTTTCTGAAATATCCTTAATTTCATGACAATGCAACATACAATACTGCTGAAAGCCTTCTCTTGCGTGTATTTTTGCTAAGCGTGTCCATTTGTTCACAGATGTGATGACTAAATGAGATAATTTTCCTCAAGGCGCATACGGAATGTCGGCCATTTTGAAGGCCGAAATAGGCACTTTCCCCTGCTCAAATTTTGGGCAGTCCTTCCATTCCATATTCCGCATATCTTAATGAGTATCTGTGCCAAGTTTCAGAATGTGATCACAATTTGAACGATTTGCCTAAATTTGGTGTCTTAGCAGCCCTACTATCGTGAAATTAGCTGTTCTTTATAAGTCGGGCATCCCAAATATTTTCATTTTGGTAGTTTATTGCCTGTTGCTGTAACTATGTATTTATATATTTAAATTCGCCCTCCCGACTCGTGAAGTTTTGATCGTCTTGGAAAAACTTACTAGTGCATGCCTGCAGCCAAAGCGCACGCGATCCCATATCTCATTCGCCTTTTGTTGTTGTAATTGTCCATGTTCTTGTTTTTTGTTTATTGTGTTCATATTATTGTAAATTTCTAGCGAGTTTGATTAAAGCTACTTATTATGATTATTATGATTATGATTATTATTATTATTGTAAGCGTAACAAAGAATGGGACAACCCACAACTAATGTCCTACTAATTTACTTCATGTATATATACATATATTTCTCTTTTTCCATATATTGAATTGAATCAAGTAGACAATGATAAACTACCTGTAACAGAGAGGTTTATCAAAGTAGTTTGTAACATTTAAAAACAATTAATAAAGGTTTCCATTATTATTATGAAACCATTATGATACTACAACGCATAAAAATGTCTGCTGCCTCAGACCGATCCAGAACTATTTCCTTGTGAAGCTTGCAGTTGTGCTAACACACGAATGCTTAACAATCTCGTCAGGACTCGTTTCACTAATGGATGTGTCTCGCCAAAGACCTGCACCATAATTCGGAGAGATTTTTCATAACATTGGCACGCGGCAGGAAAGTGAGCCAAACCCTCGTAAGCTTGACCAAAATTGTACAGATTGAGAGCAACTTCACGACTGCACGATTTCGCATCGCCAAACCTTTGCAGAGCATCTTTGATGTACTTAATGGCATTCTCATACTGACCCAACTCATAGTAAACATTGCCTATGTTACCAAGTGTGATGGCGATGCTTTGATGAGTTGCATTGGGTCCGTACAATGCGTATTTCATGTTAAGCGACTCCGAGTAGTAGGCGATCGCTTGCTGGAATCGTCCAAGTTGAGAGCAAAGATTTCCAAGATTGGTTAAAGTTTTGGCAGTCTCCAAATGCGCTCTGTCAACACCGTACAGCTGTTTTTTCGCAGATAGAGCTTTTTCCAAATACGACAACGCTTTCTCCGAGTTTTTCAAGTTTCGATACACTGTTCCTAAGTCGTGCAGTACGGCAGCAAGCTCGATGGAGACACCTCTTGCGTCTAAAATCTTCAATGCTTTCTCTAGCATTTCAGCTGCTTTCTCATATTCCGAGGTTACAATGTACTCACTCCCCAAGTTACACAGGTTTGTGCTGAGCGCTAAATCAGGGACGTTTTCGGCTCCATACTTCTCTTCGTCCAGACGAATGACTTCCTTGTAACATTTTATTGCTTCTAGTGGCCGCCCAAGGCGACTATATCCAGTGGCAACCTCGCTGTAGGCCGCAGCGACATCTATATTCATCTCTTTGCGCATCTCCAAGCCACGTTGAAAGTATGACAGTGCGTTTTCGGTATCACCAAGACTTACGCAACAGTGACCCGTGTCGATGAAGGATTTTGCCAATGGCGCATTTTTCAGGCCATCTTTGCCTTCGTATAATGATCTAGAATAAGAACGAAGAAAAACAGCATTGTTTTTAAAATGCTGCGACATTATGGGATTTAAGCCTTTGTTGGTCCGACGTTCAACAAGAAGATAGGTGTGTCCCACAAATTACATAACTGGGACGTGTTTTCGAAAGCCGGATAGGGCTGTTCACTGAATAGCTACTCGTTCAACGTAAAGATGTTTTGAAAGCTAAAAAACTGCAGATATGGGCCTGGCAATTGACGAAAAGAACATTCAACTTCAAAACATCAAAGTTTAGTCTAAACCAGATCGATCAACCGGCTGTTTTAGGATGCCTCTGTACTGTACTTAACTCTATTAGTACAATTGTCAACGAATCAAGCTTTTTTTCGGCCTTCAAAAACAATCGAATAATTGAATACTACAATGAACAATCCCAAACGATAACATCATATCACTCACCTTCTCATTTCCAGTCCCTTGCGACAGCATTCATACGCCTCTTTATATAGTCCTAGATGACGGTAAACATTTCCCAAGTTGTTCAAACAACTTGCAAAGTCCTCGTGAGGTTTTCCGTCGACGCAAATTTCTAGCCAAAGCTTTTTGGCTTCTTCCAAATAACTCGCCGCCTTGTCAAATTGACTCGACTCGATGTAAAGAAAGCCAAGGTTGTTGAGAACAGCGCAGACGTCCCTGTGTGCAAAGTTGTCTTTGTGTATCACACGCAGAAGTTTTAGAGCTTCGTCGTACGCCTCCAATGCAGCAGAAAGATTTTGTAAGTCGAGAAATGCTGAACCAAGACTACTAAGCGTGGTAGCTACGTCTGGATGCAAGATTTGTTTTCCATACAGTAATTTCTGGATTTCCAGTGCTTTTGTGAAATACTTGACTGCTTGTTCATGATCAGAAAGGCTTGAATAACAATGTCCCAGGTTATAGAGAAATTTCGGGATGTACCTTATTTTTACCATACAACCGTTCGTTCATAGATAACGTTTGTTTGTAAAGCGACACTGCCTTCTCGTATACTTCTGCTTCATAATACGCGCTTGCCAGGTTGCCAAGAGAGGATGCCAAATATGGATGAAGGACGCCAGTTCCAAACAGTGTCGTTAGTGTTTCGAACAATTCGTTGTATCTGTCCAAGGCCTTATCAATATCGCCGTTCTGGGAATAGACGGACAGTAGGTTGTTTAGGGTAACGCAGTAGTATGATCCCAGCCGTGTCTTGCCGACGTCTTTAATGATTTCCAGAGCTTTCTCGTAAAAAACAATAGCTTGCTCGAGATTATCCATTTGCTGATGAGCACGAGCGATGCCGTTAAAGGAAACTACAATGGCGATTCCGGGCGGCTTGTCTCCGTACACAGCCAACTTAACACGTAGATCTTGTTCGTAGAACGACAACGACTTATTGTATTCTCCGAGTGATTCGTAAGCAGTGGCACGATCGCGGTAAGAGCTTGCGAATTCCATGTTGGTTTTGACCCCATTGTACTTCACTTCCAAAACTTGAGCTGCCTTGTCAAGATATTCAACGCCTTTTTCAACTTCTCCTAAATCCAAGCAGATGTTTCCAAGAGTTGAAAGTGTTTCAACTAGGTCTGGATTTTCGGCCAGACCTCCATGTTCTACCTCATCTTCAACCAGGCAAACTGCACTTTCGAGACAAGACTTGGCCTTCTTGAATTGCATCAGACGAATATGGATACGTGCCTTCGTTAACGGCCTACATGGTGTAGTGAAAAACGTAAATAAACAATTCTCAAAAATTTGTGAATATGGTCAACAGTAGACCAACAATAAATGAGCATTTTGGATTTAGGTCACGAGATGCTGTTGAAGAATAAGCACTTTTGATGAAATTAACTTGGTGGTTCATCATTTAAATATCTAAATTTTCTACGCTGTTAATCATGGTTAGAAATTTTTTAATTAAAATAGCGAGCGTTTTGGATTTTGGTCACGAGATGCTGTTGAAGAATAGCACTGAAGGTTTGATGAAAATAACTTGGTGGTTCATCATTTAAATATCTCAATTTTCTACGCTGTTAATCATGATTAGAAATTTTTTAATTAAAACAGCGAGCGAAGCGAGTTAACTTATATAAAAACTCATGTGAACAACACGCACTCGTGTTTTTATATACTGAACAGATAGCGACAGACACCGATTGTTTGTAACAATTAATTGCTTCTACGCCACTGGTAACATATTACCACCATATAAGAATTCAAAAATGACCGGTACCTGCAGTCATATAGATTATAATCAGAAAACATCTTCAATTCGTTTGGTGATTCTTTAGACAGGAATTCTTCTATGGCTCTTTGAAGAGGCAAAAGTGTCATGAAAAACCGAACGATGATATCTGGATTAGGAATGTGAAAAGCTTTCTCCACCTTGATCCCACTGGGACCCGCTTTTCCAGCAACTGATCCGGCCAAATCCAGTTCCACAATTTCTGATGGTAAACCAGTCAGTCTTTCTCTCTGTTCATCTTTTCCAAGGTAAGAACGAATTCGAAGTTCAGATGCAGTAGCTAAAACAAAACTCAGATTGTAGGCTTCGTCTTCTGTAATCAGCTGCTTCCTTCGCATTTCGTCAACAACATCCCAAGTGTTGCGTGAATCCAGATTGTAATAGAAGGTCAGACTATTCAGCACCAAACTAGGAAATCTGTACAGTTCCTTCTTGACATTAAATATTTTGCCAGCTTCATTCAAGTCGAAATGGGCGCTAAAATTTTCGACTGTCTCGTTCAAGCACTCAAAGCCCCTCTTGGATCCATTAGTCCACATATTTTGATCAGATGGATCTTGCAACCTTTCTTTAACTTTCACGTTGTACAATTTAACTAGTTCTTCATCGCCTGTGATAAACACCGAAGTGGCCAACATATCAGCCAAGTGGTAGCCTTCTTTGATAGCAAGTTGCTCGCTTTGCAGTGCGGCCATGTTGTCTGGTGTTTTAATCAGTTCAAGGGCTTCTTTAGTTTGAGTTTCCTTACGACCAAGTGGATACTTGCTTGCCAATGGCATTGCTCCATCGAAGGAAAACCCTTTTGGACCATCATCGAAGAACCACATGCGTGCAGGATCGCCAGAGTAGAAATCATTTAACGAGGTGATACCCATTGAAGGTAAAATTGTCTCGCCTAAGTTGAGAACTTTCAAGTGCAAATAGCGTGTTATGTTGCGGAAATATTCCAAGTTGGATTCCGTTTCCGCACCGTCCTCAAGGAGAATTGCGAATTCCACATCAGAATAAGGAGTCATTTCGTTCCGAGCCAATGAGCCAAGCCCAATCACTGCAAATCGACAAGGTGCGTTGCCTAGCACTGATGCACATTCTTCGATGAGCATTTGAATGAAGCCAATCATGTCTTTGGATATTTGTCGGAAAAGTGTTGATATCAAATTGGTTCGCCTTTTTTCCAACACCACTCGTTGTTCTTCATCAAGAGGCATTACTCCTGGGTCACACTCAAAGTCAACCTGACGAATGACGTCTTTGCAGCTGTCACGAATCTTCTCTAACACATCTTTGTGTTTGATGTCGTTTTCATAGTCGGGAAAGTCTATTGCTGAGCTTTCTGGGAGAATGGAACTTAAAAACTGCCTCTCTGCTTCTTTAATGCGACTTATTAGGTGCTTTTTGAACTCATCTTCAGTGCTTGCACATCTTGCTAGTGCTGCGTTATATAACGCTGTTGCTTTTGTGAAGTCGTCTCCGGATTTAGTTTTGTTGCCATATTCCAAGTAGATGTTACCAAGTTCTTCGAAGCACGTTCTCATTTCCTTCGTTTTTCGTTCTGGTGATACCAATTTCAGGGCTGTTGAATAATGATTCTCAGCTGTTGCAAGATCGCCATTGGAAAGGGCGTCGCTTCCTTTTGAGAGGAGCTCATTGAATACGGAACTGTTAGACAAGTAAATCAGAAATAGAAATAAACAAAACAAAACAAAAAACAAAACAAAACAAAACAAAATCAAACATGAATCAAATCCAATCAGTAAATGAGATTGCACCATTTATATATAATATGGGTCCTTTGGTTGCATTATTTATGTCTATTGCATCTATTTCATTTAATCAGGGCACGAGGGCTGACCCCACCCCTTCACCACGTGACTAATGCAAATGTTTCTGCAAAATCAGAGAGGAAACCTGAATTTTGCGACAAAAATAATTGAAAAACGCGGGCAAAGAAGACATCTTTACAGGAAAACGCTATGAAAAGGATTCGTCATCATCGCGATCACGAGTTCTCTATCATTTTCACAGTTCCTTGATGATGAACATATGTTGATCACGTGATCACCATCATCAAACTACAATGTACAAAATACAGCAAAAATTTTAAATCTTACCAATATGAAAACTTCATAGTGAAAATGACAATTGATAATTCAGGCGCCACCTGGTGCTGCATATGTATAGCTCTGCATGTAGCGGAAATTGCATAATATATGCTTGGCTTGTTTCAGCTTTGTTTGTCTCATAACATATATCACTGTGGTATATTCTCTTTTTGAATATTCTATACATACTACATATATTAATAGTGTCATATAACAACCCTTTTACAGACAAGTCTGCATGGAAAGTATTCCATATAATTCGTATAGGAAGCAATCATATTTTGCTACAAGTAGAATGCTACGTTCAAAGGCACCCGGTTCAAAATTCGAAATGCAACGCTAAAGTTGCATTGTATGAACCATGGTATTAATACCGTCCTCAATCGAGAGCAGAAAATGCTGCTGAATCACATTCTGCTGGAAATATATATGTGTATATACATATACATACATACATATACAGCTAGAGTAGAATCGTGTCTACACCGAGTAGCTACCCGTTGTTTGGAATGGCTCTGTGGCTCATGAAACAGATCATTTTGTAGCAGCATGAGCAGCATTTTGTGAACGCAAATATACAGATAGGATGATTCTGATGACCTCCCCGACTTAAAGCAGTAAATTTCTGCAACATACCTTTCAGATTTATTTTCATTTGCTTTCTTACTCGTTGTAATCTCCATTTTGATGCGGTGGAGACTATTCTAGTTGAATACATCCACAGACCACTTTTCGATTATATAGTCACGGTTAGGCCACAATATATCGCAGAATTTTACTCAAAGACAATGAACGGAAAGGCCTCTTCTAGGAAGCAGCTGATGTGTATATAAGCGGATTATGATGTAACTGTGTATGCAAATAATGCAATTAACCTCAACACCTTGAGTATTCGATAAAGCGCCGCTACCCGAATAAGCGCCGCTTCCCGAATAAGCGCAGTTCTAAGAGCCCGTAATAAGAAGAGCTATGGGAATTGAATTTATAATAGCTTTGGCAGGTGATTCCGGAAAGTGTCTTTAATAGCGAGGTGGCCGTATACAATAGCGGTTTCTCGTCTTTTCAACAGATGGAAGCCCCTTCCTTTCTGAGCCTGAAATATCGACATAATTCAAGGACTTCAATTCAAGAACAAGAAAGTTCTGAAAGAGCTACTTAACGATCACAAGGACCGCTTGTTCCACGGCAATAATTTTATATCGATTGCCTTAATTTAAGGCATTTAAGGCTGTTTGTTCGACATTTCGTTGTGCGCACTGCATGGAAATTTTTTATTTTTGGAAAATTTTTAGCTTTCGAATCATTTCGCTATTTTGCTTCCATCATCGATGTCTGCTGCACGTGTTCTTGCCATATACTAACTATATACTTTGGTATACAGTATACTGAACAACTAGTTGTCCAGAACAACCATTATGGTTACTGAATTTGGTTTGAAAATCGTGATGATAATTGTTACTAATTTATCCATCCTAATCTTCATCAAGTCGATTGCTCACTTTCAAGAAAATAAAGGGGCAGCCAAAACTAAAAATATATGAGAAATTAATTAATATACTGAGAAATTAACACTAATTATTTATATTCAACAATTAGATCGAGATTTATGTGAGGTGATAGTTGATGAGCTCCACATAATATGGACAGGTTGTCCCAAAAAAAAGGAACCTGCATTATGCATATAAATTATGGATTCGATGACATTTTTATTCGCAATAATGCAATTATGATTCACATTAGTTTGACGAACTTGATCTTTCTGTGTCTCTGGGATTTCATACAACAAAGCTATTTCGTGTTTTTAATGAATATTACATAATAATAAATGTAGTATATCAAATTTTTATGTAATTTTTTCAAAGAATGAATTTCGTGTTACATTGCCTCGTATCCATAATTAGGCACTTTTTACCCTCTAGTTGATTTTATGTTGATTTCAGCCCCTTAGGTCGGCGCTTATTCGGGTAGCGGCGCTTCATCGAATATTCATGGTATTAAAGTTTAATTGCATACACAATTACATCATAATCCGCTTATATACACATCAGCTGCTTCGTAGAAGAGGCCTTTCCGTTCAATGTCTTCGAGTAAAATTCTGCGATATATTGTGGCCAAACCGTGACTATAATCGAAAAGTGGTCTGTGGATGTATTCAACTAGAACAGTCTCCACCGCATCGAAATGGAGACTACAACGTGTAAGAAAGCAAATGAAAATAAATCTGAAAGGTATGTTGCAGAAATTTACTGCTTTATTCACGTGAAATTGTAACATTAGCTTAATACGTCGGCGAGGTCATCAGAATCATCCTTTTTAATTTGTATATTTGCGTCCACAAAATGATGCTCATGCTTCTACACAATGTTCTGTTTCATGAGCCACAGGGCCATTCCAAACAACGGGTACTCGGTGTTGAAACATCTCAATGTAGACACGATTCTACTCTAGCTGTATATATATATTATATATGTCCAGCAGAATGTGATTCAGCAAATTTTCTGCTCACGATTGAGGACGGTATTAATACGATGGTTCGCATTTAAATCGACAACTTTAGCGTTGCATGTCGAATTTTGAACAGGGTGCCTTTGAACGTAGCATTTTACTTGTAGCAAAATGTGTTCGCTTCCTATACGAATTATATGGAATACTTAATTTCCATGCAGGCTCGGCTGTAAAGGGTTGTTATATGACACTACTAGAAATACATGCATGCAATAACCCCTCGCCTGTTTTCAAAAGATATATACTCAGTGCCGTTGCGAGTACTTCGTCGCAGGGGGGGGGGGTTAGATAGAGGGGGGGGGGTTACCAAAAAGTTTCCAGATGTACAAAAATTTTTCAGGACATATAATAATTTTTCCGAAATTTAATACAGTTGTTTTCCAAATTCACTTTCTCAGTCATGTCCTGAGAATTACCTGAATCCCCTGAAAATCTTCTGCAAATCTACTTAAATGTAGGTACTAAAAGTGCACTGGAAATCTACCTGAAATTCATCATGAGCAATAATCAGGGGTGTTGCACCCCCCCCCCCCCAGTGAGTTCCAAGCAAACACTCTCTGATTTATTGTTCGTGTATTTCGATCACCTCCCAAAATATTGTGCATCATACTATAGAGCATTTTGCTGTTGTCATGCTCTAGCATGGTTCAAATTTATGAATTTTTATTATATAAAGCATAGTGTTTTGCAGAGTTTTCGAGCACTGACAAAAATGATAATCTCAGATGTGAAATTATTCATGATAATCTCACATGTAAAAATTTATCGCCTTTTCAATTATCGCTTTTCTGTAAACATTATCGCTTTTCATTTAAGACTGTCCTTTATATAATAAACAGAAAAATACATGGGTGGTTGGAAATACCAGATTTATTATTTGTGTTGAACATGACATCTCACTCGTTCGCTGCGCTCACTTGTTCGCTGCACACTCATGTTCAACACTCGAAATAAATCTGGTATTTTGTGCACCCATGTATTATTCTCTATTTAAACTACAGCTAGACTGGTTTAAATTATTATCAATTTATCAGTGATTGTAAAAGTTGGAGATAGAAGTGTTTTGTTTTATAAAATTATCAAGTTGTCGGTGATCGCAAAACCTCCAAATCCTTAATTTCAAATGTTAGAATGTTAGGGTTAGAATGTTAGGGTTTGTAATATATACATTTTAAGTGAGAATATATACATTTTAAGACCTAACCAGGAACGACTGCGAAAAATGCAGCACAATGTCCTCTGGTAGGAATTGAACCTACGGCCCTGCGATTCCGGTGCAGCGCTCTAACCAACTGAGCTACAGAGGCCAGCTGTTGAGCTTTAACCGTAAGTTCATGTATATTTAAGTAATCGGGTGTGCGGGTTATCATAAGGTGGACTTCAATAATTTGGATTCTTGCACTTCACTTGGTGGACTTAATATTAGAATGTTAGGGTTTGTAATCCAAGTGAGAATATATACATTTTAAGACCTAACCAGGATCGACTGCGAAAAATGCAGCACAAGGTCCTCTGGTAGGAATTGAACCTACGGCCCTGCGATTCCGGTGCAGCGCTCTAACCAACTGAGCTACAGCTCGGCCAGCTGTTGAGCTTTAACCATAAGTTCATGTATATTTAGGTAATCGGGTGTGCGGGTTATGATAAGGTGGACTTCAATAATTTGGATTCTTGCACTTCACTTGTTGGGATTAATATTTGAATGTTAGGGTTTGTAATCCAAGTGAGAATATATACATTTTAAGACCTAACAAGGAACGACTGCGAAAAATGCAGCACAAGGTCCTCTGGTAGGAATTGAACCTACGGCCCTGCGATTCCGGTGCAGCGCTCTAACCAACTGAGCTACAAGAGACCAGCTGTTGAGCTTTAACTGTAAGTTCATGTATATTTAGGTAATCGGGTGTGCGGGTTGTGATAAGGTGGACTTCAATAATTTGGATTCTTGCACTTCACTTGGTGGAATTAAAATTAGAATGTTAGGGTTTGTAATCCAAGTGAGAATATATACATTTGCATATTCTCACTTGGATTACAAACTATTCTCATTTGGATTACAAAATATATACACCAAATATATACATGTACTATACCGGTACATTTGTATATTCTCACTTGGATTACAAAATATTCTCACTTGGATTACAAAATATATACATGTATATATTCTCACTTGGATTACAAAACCTAACATTCTAATATTAATTCCACAAGTGAAGTGCAAGAATCCAAATTATTAATTTCAAATGCCCCGCCGGGGCTAAGGTTCGAGTGGAAATGCCCAACCCCCGGGATGTGCTTTACAGGAAAATGGCTGGGCGAGGGGGATGGGCACACTTGGATTTGGCTGATGCATTAAAAGTCCTGTGCTTATTCCAGACTGCTTGTCAAATATTTACTTGCCAGAAGTCGAAATTTACTCTGACCGCTGGATGAAGAAGACATTAAATAAGTACTGGTCAATAAACAGAAATGTATTTTATTTCATAGTATTACAATTTTATTTTTATACTATAAAAATAAAATATAAACATGCAGCATAGAATATGCAAATTCGAGGCAAAATTATTGTTGAATCGGTTTATTTATAGGATTTATATAACAAATAGCAACTATAAAAGTTTGTACCTTGTCTTCACATCGTAATAGCCAATGCTTTTAGTTTTACATATTTTAGAATCAGTTCCTTTCCTGGTAACTGCATTTCTAAATGAAATCATCGTGAGTAGTGAGTGCTGAGCAGGCTGTTTTACTATAAACAAATTTTAGGAATTGTTAACAACTTTGAAAAATATATCGTTGCACATTCGGTCACAGTCGGAAAAATGTTCATAGTATGTTGTACCGTCGTTTGCAACTAACGATGAACAGTCGCTCATAAAAACATTCGCGTGATTAGAATCTTCAATGTTTGTCAAGAACAACAACACTTAATTGTTGTTTCCCATGTGTGCAATAAAAATAAGTAACAAAACTTGTCTGAACTTGTTGGGCTAGAGACCTACTGGAAACTTTTACAGGCTTTTTAATGAGAATAGAGAATGTTTTATCTGCAACTGTTCACCCTTAGTTGCCACCATTGAACTAAAAATAACTTCTTAGTTCAATAAAAATAACGTTCTTTTTAGTTCAATGGTTGCCACCGACGGTATTTGATAACTGATATAAATAAAATACAGTCTGGTTATACTGACTTGAGCGTGTCATGACAAACTCTTTATTGGAAAATTGTGAAGAAATAGTCGAATATAGAGGGTCGAATATCATACTTAAACTTGTATAGCTACAGTATCATTGGTACATAGCGTTGTGAATACAAGCCTTTGCTTTAATACCTTTCGCTTCAGCAGTCTTTTTTTTCCATGCTTCGATCTCTACGCTTTCCCAGGCGAGCTTCTCTTTCCTCAGCAGTCTCCTCGAGCAAACGTTGTCGTCTTCGCTGGCTCCCTCCTTTTCGCGAGACGTTCGTCTTTCTTGTCGTTTCCTTGCCGCTCTTCATTTGGCTCCATACAGTAGTCCATATCTTTTCAATTGGTATTTGATACCATAATTGTTTTATTAAACTCTTTATAGAGCAAATTGCTTTGAAAGCTGTCAAAGTTTTTTGCAAACGTACAAAATACTGCAGTGCAAAAAGCAAATTATTTTCATGAAGTATCTGTCAGTTGAAGTCGTCAGTTCATCTCACAACAACAAATTTTAAATTTGACCAATCAGTGTTCGCTATTCAGGACAGTCCGCTATATTTTGAGATCAGTGAGGATGACCACCCATGAACGGTGAATCATGCGCCCGCGATATTTGATGAACTTTAGACTCCGCTAATGCTTTCGTTTCCCCGGGTGTAAATAGCCGAGGGGAATTAGTACCCTCGTACGGCGCTTCGCGCCGCCGGCTCGGGGATAAAACATTTTCACGAGGATTTTAAAGTTCAGTCGGGCGGTGATGTGACGAGAATCAAGGAATTTATTTTATGTTGGGCAGTTGGGACTTGGGAATAACTTGTTGGGAGTGGCTAATTTTGAATATTTACTTAATGACTTCTATAAATAGCTTTGATGCTTCAGGGGCGGTAGTTCATTTACACCCAGTTTTGCGGCAGGCGGTATTTCCTACGTACCGCCTGCCATGCAGGCTAGCACTTACCATCATAAACAGTTTAATCGTGCAACAATTACTGCCATTTATTGGCGGAAAACCAGAAACATGACGAATTGTCTTGTTTCTATAGCTTCTCTTCCGTGTAATGCACAGCAATACATTAATATATATTTGACAATTTCGATTCCAACTATATATATCTTCATATGATACTATACCTTATAGGGGTAATTTATGCATTAATTAACATTCCCCATTTTAAATACATCATGAACAGTTTCTAATAATAATAATAATAATAATAATAATAATAATAATAATAATAATGATTTATTATCAGTATTTCCATACAATGGCTCTTCACCTGATAAAACTACTACTACAATATTTAAAGAAATAGTAAGAAAGTTGTAAACCTAGACCTAAGTATTACAATTAAAAAGTGAGACAGCGTTGCTTTAAAATATTAAAAGTTTGTCTGGAGAAGTCTCTATGATCTGTGCATGATTTTATATCAGCTGGTAGAGAATTAAATAATGAAGCTGAACAATCTTGAAAGGTATTAGAAACTAAAGGTATAACTAAATTGACTTGAGCATTAGACCGTAAAACACGTGTGTGT